TGAGATTGGGTGTGGGTTCATGAGCCTTCACTACTGAGGGTGAGTTCTCCATCACCGACAGGTGGGCCCACAAGCCTTCAGTACCGAGAATGAGTTTCCCATCACTGAGGGGTGGGTCTACAAGCCTTTGTTAAGTCTGTAAGGTCACTGAAAAGTCTGAGTGAAGTTTGGTCATCTCACCAAAAAGGGTGTGGTAGATCCCCTCTGCTGGGATGACTGAGACTTCCCTGGGGTAGAGTAGCACCACACAGGCACATCGGCACATATCTGAAGCACACCGTATTGACTTCTCAGGTTCTGGGGCAACAGTGTGGGCGATAAGGGTGCCCAAGCTCTTGCCGAAGCTGTGGCTGATCACCAGAGCATGACGTGGCTCAGGTAAGCTGCAAGGTGTGCCCTGTCTGTGTCAAAGGGGAGCTCGGTGGTTGGGACGGTTTTGAAAATCACTGGACTCTGTATGCCCCCACTTGTATTGGGCAGTGAAGTAAGGAAGAAACACATTGGATTTGGGACCAGGAACTTGAGGATCTGGGGGTCATTTTGGATGTGGTTCTCCTCCTTTTAGGGTCATAATTTCCTGTTAGCAGATTGAAGGCTGTGAGTTGAACCCATCATATTTTATCTTAAGGATCTGTTTTATTCTCCTGGAAACGACTGCCCAGTCGGACAGAAGTTGGAGGCTGCTCCTGGCCTTAAGGGGCACTGTAACCAATTAGTCTGTCTACACGACACACTATTAGGGTGCACCATTTGCCCTTCATAGGTCAGTTTGTCTCTGAAGTCCTTCTCTATGCCAATTAATTCTTATTCCATGATTACGTCCAGCCTGGTGGGAAACAACATTGGCAGCAAGGGTGCCCAGGCCCTAGCGCTGATGCTGGAGAAGAACAGGGCACTGGAGGAGCTCTGGTGAGTTGGGAGGATTCCCCGCTCCTGGGCGGCAGAATTGGGAAGACTCCCCCACTCCTGGGAGGTGGGTACTCAAGGCACTAGAGGAACCCTGGTGAGTTGGGAGGATCCCCACCCCCACCCCTGGGAGGCAGGTACTCACCTTTATTGATCGCCTAGCCTCATCCACGGGAGGTTGTGTGGGTAAGCTAATGATTTTAGCTTTGAATTGTGTGAAGCTCGCAGGGCCTGGTTTCACTGCTAATTCTTTTTATCTACGTGGATATGTTGGTTTGCTGCTTCACTTACTGCTTGCACATGCCCCGCACAAGACCCACAGACCCTGGAATCAAGCGGGTACACTGAAGTAATCCCTAGACTATGGGTTTCTACCGCTGAACTGGAAGCATGAATGTTCCAGCTCTAGAAAGGTGCTTTTAAGAATTAGGGAAGGTAGTGCTGGCAGAGCCCTTAATATAGTGCCTGCCACATGTACAAGCTTAATATAGTGTCTACCATATGTACGGGCTTAATACAGCGCCTGCCATATGTGTAGGTGTTTCATAAATGCTACATTGTAGCGGCGAGGTTACTGCTACTATTGCAGCTGCCCACAACTGCAGCAATAGTACCGGGAGTACTAATGTTTGTGAAGTTCAGTATTTCAAGATGAGTTGGAGTTCTTCAGAACACTGGCTGTTAGTGTTAGGATTCAGGCAATATGCTGGCCTACCCTGTCATCTGGCAGGATGTACCAGGCTGTACCCTGGACTGGGTGCTAGTTTGTGTGCAGGTGCAAAGGTTCCTTTAGGAGACAAGCTCCACCCACTCCTGGTTTCTCTTTCCTGCTGTTCCTCTGAAAGAAGAAGCTTCTCTCTCTCTCTCTCTCTCTCTCCCTCTCCCTCTCCCTCTCTCTCTCTCTCTCTCTCTCTCTCTCACACACACACACACACACACACACACACACACACACATTCTCTCTTCCCTTCTCATTCCCTTTACCTCAAATAAACTTCACACTCAAACTCTGTCTGTATGGCATATTTGTCTGTCCCTCATCCGCATGGTCCTCACCTGCCATGGGACCTGCCAAGGTTCCAAATTCATGCCTAAACAACAATCAGAGTTAAGGCTTCCCTCAGAAGGTGAATGGAGTTTGGGATCATTGAAAGAGGAGCCACCAAGTGTGCTTCTGACACAGACCTGAGGCAGACAGATCTCAAATCATCTATCCCGTAGATGCTTAGACAGATCTCATATCATCTATCCTGTAGATGTGTAGACAGAGCTCAAATTATCTATCCTGTGGATGCTGCCAGAGCCGTCAACCCCAGGGGTGCCTCTGCAGTTACAGATTTAGCAGCAGGAGAAAATGCCGAGCGATTGACTTCTCCAGAAGACAGCAAAGCGTGGATACTCAAAAAGGATTGCCACAAACAGAGTGGAGGTGTTATGTGACCAAACGTTTTCTGGGGAGATGTAACACACATGTCTAGTGATCCCAGATAGGGAGCCCATGACAGACCAAACTATGAGTACCGCTAAAGTCTAACTTGGTGAACCATGAGCATTACTGGGGTTATCTGCAGGACGAGGGGTTACTTACAGGAACAGAAATGACTCAAAGGCAGCTGTATCACCAAAGCCCACTCCAGCATGGGCGAGAATTCACAAAGCTTGGGACTTTGGGCACACCGCACAGTCTGCATGCCCCTCAATAGATTGGGCAGTGTTCTTCCCAGCAGCCTCAGTTGGTCTAACCCTCTTCCAGGCAGCTCAGCTGGCTTCTGTTTCTTCCAGGTAGCTGGTCATGTCTTGACTTTTTTTTTTTTTGTTTTGTTTTGTTTTTTGCTTCTCTGAGAGGGACTTTTCAGCTTTTGTTGTTTGCACTGGGGTGTGTGTTGGGGGTGTGTGGTTGGTGAATCTGGTCAGTTTCAGGGACTTCCTGAAGCTATTTTGAGTTGTTTACCTTCCTGTTGGAGGAGCTCAGGACACCATTGCACAATGCTCCACATTTGTTTTCAGCTCTTGCCTTCTTTCTGCCCCCTCTTTCGCAATGGTCTTTGAGCCTTGGAGGAGGTGACAGATGTCCTCCTATGGCTAAGAACCAGGCCACCAGGCCATAGTAGCAGTCACGTGTTCTTTGGAGCTTCACCAGGGGTTATGAGTTGAGGCTGACAACAACAGTTATCTACAGGTACAAACACACATGTTTAAAAGATCTTTGGACAGGCACACCACAGCCATCTAGGAAAACCATAGAAGTTGTTTTCCTATTGGTATCCACAACCCGCTCAGCCATACTGGCTTACAGTACCAGATGTGAACTCCCTTTTATGGAGTGGACCTGAAACCCAACTGGAAGGCTGTTGGGCTTACCCATGAGCGCTGAGCACAAGCAGGCACGTGCTGCCCAGCATGTTGGCATTTCAGCGTGCGGGATCCATAGCCAAGCAGGAACGCTGGTGGCAATTTCCCACCAGCAGCCTATACTGCCCCCTTTGGCAGTATGAAAGCCAGCCAGCAGGGTGAGAGTTTTCAGTTCAGCCCCAGCTTAACTTCTCCATGTCCCAGTCAAGCGTGCACAGGCAGTGTTTTCAGCAGTGGGGTCTTGATGTCTGGTCCTGGCTACAACAGCAGCAGCAGCAGCAGCAGCAATATTTTCATCTGTTCCTGGACGACAAGTCAAGGGATGGATGAACCCACCTCTGCACTGGGGTTTTTATTCAATAACATTACAGCCTCTGGAAGTCTGCCTGCCTGCTCTCTCTCTCTCTCTCTCTCTCTCTCTCTCTCTCTCTCTCTCTCTC